CAACCTGTGGTTATTAAGTACCAGCTTCCTGATGAGGATCTTGATGCATTGGTATCTATTTCATCCCTGGATGATCTTGATAATATGATGGATGAGTACGACAAAGTGGTTGAAAGGTCTTCAGATGGGTCAGCTAAATTAAGGGTATTTTTGTTTTTGGCTTCGGAGCTTGATCCTTTTGGTATGGTTCGATTTGGGGATTTAATTGACAATGGGCAGAAATATGTTGAGGCAGTGAATGGAATTGTGGAAGGATCGGCTGGTGGCATCATGCGGAAGAAGAGCTTAGCAAGTTCAGCTTCAACACAGAATTCTGATTTTAGTTGGGGTGAGGCTTTTTGTTGCGTTGGTATTAGTCAGGGGGGTGTTAGTGGGGCTCCATCAACAAGCATGTTGTCACCTGGAGGGAATTCAGCTGCTTCTGTTGATACTGATCCAAAAATAATGGCTACGGATCCTAGTCCGACTGTTAATGCAGATGGTGCTGCTGTTCATTTAGGAATTCCAGTGATTAAGTCTGCTCTTCCTCAAACACTGTCCTCTCAACCTGAGGTTGAGTTCGAGAGGTTGATGCCACTTCGACACCTCAACAAGTGAGATATTATATGCCACAACATTATGGATCTACACATATTGATCCTCGTCTTGATGTTATAAATCGTTCTGATTATATGCATCCTGCACCTCAGATGGGGTACTCAAATCCTATGTTGGTGGGCAATACTAATTCTGTATTCGGCCAACAGTATTTTTGTGATAATGCTACCTCCAATCAGTTCATTCCTGCTGTGCACATGACAGTGACTCCCTCCACTTCCCATGTTGGTACTAGACCAACAGTAGTTCAGCTACAACAAGCAACTTTCCTGAGAAAATTCCAAGGCTAGAAGACTGTTGTATGTGTCAGAAGGCTTTGCCTCACGCACATTCTGATCCTTTGATAAAGGATAAAAGAAATATCAGCGCAACGCCTTTAGTAAATACTAACTCAACTTATCATAGTCTGCGTCCAGAAGATGGTATGAAGGTTTTATCAGCAAACATAGTTGTGACTGGAGCATCAGGGGATAACATTGCTGAACAAGGAGTTGGGTTTCGGCAGCTTGGTCACATTGACCATCAAATTGGAGGACTTCAGTCTGATGCACTTGGATTCTCTCAAGGTATTGATTTACAAAATGAACTTGAAAAAAAAATTAACTCGAGAACTGATAATTCTGAGCATCCTAGGTTTCCATTAAGTCAGGGTTTTATGGGCGTGACAGGGGAGTTACAATCACGCTTTAGAACAGACAATGCCTGAAGTTTCAAGAGAACACCATTGCAATATTCATGATGTCCCCAGACAAGATATTGTAAACCCTAACCCTCTGATCCCAATTGATGGGATGATGGAGGAACTTAAGATAATCAATGAGCAGCAGGGTAATTCACCTATTTACAAAACCAGAAAAGATGTCTTGGATGAGAGATCTCCACAAATAGCAGGGAGAGAGGTGTTTTTGGATAATATCTTTACCAAACCAATAGACTCCAATGAGATGAATATTTCGGATAATGTAATAACACATGCACAGCCAAAAGTTGGAGCGCAAAACTTAGATACTCCTTTCAATGCTAACACCCAAACTTCTTTTTTAAACTCCGGTAGAGGTGGAGATGTTTTGGATTCCACAAATTCACTCTTTAGCAATCAAGATCCTTGGAAATTGCAGCAAGATGCCAACTTTCCTCCTAGATCTTACCAGACTCAAGCACATAGAGAGGGATTAGCTACCATAGACCCTTTTGGAGAGAACCGGTCAGTAATCAGTGGTGAATCTAAAGCTCAACTGCAAGATGAAGTTTACCCGCCATTAAATCATTTGAACAAGGATTTCATTTCAGACCACACACAGTCAACACAAGGTGAGATATTTGATTTCCGTTTGCTATAAATGTTGTAATTTCTGCATGGAGTAAATGTTTATTGTCTTTGCCTTCATTGCCAAAGCCTCAGCTGAGGAACTCATTAAGAAATAACTACAAGCTGTTGCTGAGGGAGTTGCTGCTTCTGTTTTCCAGTCCTCTACCCCTTCGAATCCTGACATACCAGCAGCAACTGACGAAACTGGTTTTGAAGGTAATCAAGAGACAGATGTTTCAACTCGAAACATTGAAATGCAGCATAAAGCTAAATTTGAGGTGTGCAATCTAAGATCTCTTCATTCTCTATCACTATCTCTACGAGCAGATGCATTCCTTGGACCATCTTTAATGTTTAGTCTTCTTAATTCAGGAAATCAAAACCAAACAACCAGACATAAAAAAACATGATTTTCGAGTTTCGGATGGCATTGGTCGCTTGCAGGTTGAATAATTGTTTTTATGTGATGTTTGTGATTTATTGTTAACTCCTTTTGCCCTTAAATTTAGCCATATTCTTTTTTCAGATTATAAAAAACATTGACCTTGAAGAGCTGCGAGAGCTTGGTTCTGGGACCTTTGGTACTGTTTATCATGGGAAGTGGAGGGGTAGTGATGCAATCAAACGGATCAATGATAGATGTTTTGCTGGGAAACCTTCTGAACAAGAACGCATGGTTCGACTCATTATTTCCTGTTTTCATGCTCTTATTTTCTCCCTAGTAGCTCTGCTTTGAAATATCACTCTCTAACACGTACTTTGGTAAATGCATATGATAAGATTGATGATTTTTGGAACGAGGCAATTAAGCTTGCTGACTTGCACCACCCCAATGTTGTGACTTTCTATGGTGTTGTTCTCGATGGTCCTGTTGGCTCTGTGGCAACAGTGACAGAATATATGGTGAATGGTTCTTTAAGGACTTCTTTACAGAAGAATGAGAGGTCCTAAAAGTTCTAGTTTTGTTTGTTATATGGTATAAGCTTTCATATATTTGTATTTTAATCAAACATTTATCTGATTATAAATAATTATTGGACGACTTGCTCTTTCCAGGAATCTTGATAAGCGTAAGCAACTTTTGATTGCCATGGATGTGGCTTTTGGAATGGAGTATTTGCATGGAAAGAATATAGTGCACTTTGATTTGAAGAGTGACAATTTACTCGTCAATCTTCGAGATCCCCATCGCCCGATATGCAAGGTTAATGCTCGGGTCTAAGTTTTGCTTGCCCTTCATTCTGGTGGGAGCTTTTCATTATTTGTTCCAAACATCCTTAGATGAAATTGACAGTTCTATTGATTCACTCCGAGTACTAATTCGGCATATTGCTCGCTTAGAGTAAGTTAAGTTGGCAAATTTAATGTTTCCTTATATTCTCAAGGAGAGCAATTTTGTGACTGAGTTGACTGATATGTTAAATGTTCTTAGTATTGTTGTGGGATTGAGGTTTATGCGGGTATATTTAGCTCAAGAGTAGAATTCAGTACACACGGACAGAGCAGGGTTTTGAATGAATTCCTGAACTCATCAAGAGTACTCTAATAATATGAACAACGGACTGATTTAGACTTTAGACATTGACAATGATATTTAAAGTTGTTGTTATGGAAGTATTAACCTTTGATTGTGCGAAGAGTACGTACATGTACATTCCATTTAATCTTGAGCTAAAGAGGACCTTGTTTCTCTCAAAGTAAAATTATGGTTTCTGGTATATTTTTGTTTTTCGGTACCAGGTTGGTGATTTGGGCCTATCCAAGGTGAAATGTCAAACTCTGATCTCAGGTGGTGTCCGTGGAACCCTTCCGTGGATGGCGCCAGAACTTCTGAATGGCAGCAGCAGTCTTGTCTAGGAAAAGGTTTGTGATTGCGCATTGTTAAGTTTAGTGCCCGCTACCAATCCATTTCGTACATGCTAACTTCTGTCGCATATTATCATATCATAAGATTTCTGTTTTGGTATTTCCTGTAATTTAGGTTGATGTGTTCTCATTCGGTATTGTTATGTGGGAGCTTCTCACTGGAGAAGAACCATATTCAGACTTACATTATGGGGCTATTATTGGTAATTGCATTATTTACAAATGTATTCATGAATTCAATTGTCCAAACCTTTGTACTCCAATGGTTCACACTTTGCCTTGAACTGAATTCGTTCAGGTGGTATTGTAAGTAATACGCTAAGGCCACCGGTTCCAGAATGCTGTGACCCGGAATGGAGATCATTGATGGAGAGATGCTGGTCATCTGAGCCATCGGAGAGACCGAACTTCACCGAGATAGCAAACGAGTTGCGCTCAATTGCAGCAAAAATTCAGTCAAAGGGACAAAACCCACAAAAATAAGCAGAAAACTCGACCCTCGGGTTTCAAATATTATTTTGGAGAATCTGCTTAATGTTGGCATCTCTTGTTCCCTTTGCACTTGCAGGCGGTTGGAGGTGGTCGTAGATGTGCTGCTGCTTGGCGTGAACGTACACAGCACAGAGAGAGGAAGGGAACTAACTTTATTATTATTTAATTATATTATTTATGGAAATTATATTTGCTTGATTTTGTTGACATTAGACTTTCCGTCTGAATTTTATGTTTATATGCAACTTGGGGGTACTTAATTACATGTCAACTTTCCACCTAAACAGGGTTGGGGTGCTTTTTGGAATTTGTTGCTAATTCATTCATTTATGCAACTTCTATAAAGTTTGCAGGTGGAACAAAGTTTTGAAGCATCATTAAATTATATAATAATTACTTCGCATGTAGAAACATTACATAGATATATATATTCAAGAACATAATTTACAATATAACCCATGACATAAAAGCCAATACTGTCCACAGATATGAAAACATGAGCCCATAACCGTCCAACAACAATGCTCATATATCATCATTATGCAGAGGACTCGATATTTTTTACCAGTATCTAAATTAAGGATCTAAAACAATATTGTTACACATATCAGCAGCAGATTACCATAGACCTAGGACTGACTGGACTCCCTCAACTATGAACAGATCCACAGTGGAGCATCAAACATGGAGTTATCTATTAAGAGATTCTTCTTTTTTTTAATTTACACCAAGTGTTCATTACTGGTTCATACTGTGTTACTTCTTCCCCAAGTCAAAAGTAGCCAATGGTACTCTTGAATAAGCAGCTTACCTCTTACGTTTGCTCTTCAGAGAGGTAGAGGAGCTACTATGCCAATTCCTTTTTCTCTGGTTTATGAACCAGTTGTTAATTTGCTTTAACTGCAAGCCTGTTTCCTTAACTAATTTTGCTTTGTCTTCCTCCTGAATCAATATTGAAGAGGAAACCCTATTGTCATGGAACTGTTGGAAGCAACATATGCTGATCAATGAGAACTGGCAGGGAAAAACATATCACACTCACAGTTGGGTAAGGCCACTTGGAATGTGACTGCCACCAAGATTTTAAAGACGAGGTGGTGTCGCCTGGTAGCTTTCCGGCTCGTCTCTTACGCAGAATTTCCTCTCTAATGTCCACAATCTTCTCCTTGTAACCCTAAAAAGACCGGAGCATGTTTTAGCTGCAGTGTTATTTGTGGACCCACTTAACTATTAAGTTCGAGAAGCCGTACCTGTTTCAGCTCATGCTTCAGTTCTTGCCTAACACGCTCCATTAATGATCTCTCGGTCTCAGTCGGGACAAGGGGGCCGAACCCCATGCTATCAAAGCCATCGAAACTCCCATCAAACAAACTAGCGTCACCATCTACAGCTTCATCTTCGTCATCAGACATGGTTGCACCGGTGCCTTCACCTGGAGATACACCTGATCCATGCTCTTTAGTTTAGCTTTGCCATTGCCAATTCAACCAACAGTTAATGCAGTCATTTTCCAAAACAATCAAAATAAACAGGGATGGATTAAGTTCATTATCATGGCTTACAGTTAGCACTTAGAATGGAAGCTAGATGCTTTTTTAAAGACTGAATCAACTCATTAGCATTGCTCTGCCATGGTGTCTCTTATATAACTCTGTAAAATCTGAACACTTTGTTCACTAGTAGAGAACTACAAACACAATTCTGTATAAAATTGGCTGAACTATGTACCAACAGGAATAACGCAAGATATAACTGAAACGAATAACATAGTTCCGGAATTTAAAATTATTATATATTTTAATTTTTTATTTATTTTTTATTGAAAATATGTTTTCGACCCTGAAATTTTATAAGTTTAAGTTTGCCCTTAAAATTTTATAAGTTCAAGTCCACCTCTTAAAGTAAAATCATACGTCCGTCCCTGGCTCGGTACAATATAATTATGCATCGTCATGCTAATTCTTCCGGGAGCTGTTTGTAGTAGGAAGAAAGATTCACCTGTTAAACTTTGAAGTGATTGCTCAAGATCCCAACAAGCCATAACTGCTTCCATTGCATGAACACGAACATGTTGCTGCAATTGGTCTTTGAAGAAACCAAGCAGTAGAACATAATTTGCCTACATCAAAAGTACAAACAAAAGGAGAAGATGCCGATATGGCATATAATATGTTGATATTAGAAAGCTTTAGAACATGCAAAAGGGGAATAGACCATCCAATAAACCCTAAACAGGGAAGGTTCCAATTCTCAAGTATTATGAAGTCCAAATATTAATCCAATGATCGCTTATGTTGAAGAAAGGACAAATGCTCAAACTATGATCAGGGTATAAACCACGAACCAAGAAAAGGGCAAATGCTCAACACAAGGAGAGACATTACAACAATCAATAAACAAATGATTTCTGGAAAAACACTTCAAAAGCTCCATTATTTAGGATAGTAATGACAAGGGTCGTTCCTCTTATAGGTAGCTCGAAATTCACGACAATTCACATTACGAGGCAAGACTTTTTCATTTTACATCATCTCTTTTAACTGACACATGAAATACTAATTCTAAGCTAAAACGTACTAATACTCCCCTCTCTCTCTCTCTCTCTCTCTCTCTCTCTTTCATCTTTATTTTTCTTTCACTGAATTACCTCTGATATCAGAAAACAAAAGGGTTAGATTAGAAGTGTTAGCTGGTTTTGAGAACCGCCACCAACACCTAGCAGCTAAAGGAAATCAACACAAAATGAAAAAAAAATCAGTATAACCGACGGATTATAACTAAACGAAGAGAAAAACCTAAAACCAGCTGGTCAACGATGACCCAAAGGAGAAAGATACTCCAGAACTGATAAAACATACAAAGGACTCAGATCAGGAAACGAGAAGGGAAAAGGGTTACCATGAAGTGATCAAGTTCTTCCTCAGCAGAACCCGCGGCGGCGGCGGCCGACGAGTACTTAGCCAAGACTTCTTGTGACCTAGCCAACTGAGCATCGATCTGAGCGAGCTTGTCAACAGGCGTGGCAACACGCAAGCAGGCGATGTGAGCTTCCAACAACTGGTCGTACATGGGATGCCCCATTATCTCGGCCTTGCATTTGGCTCTTTCCCAATGGTCGAGCTCGGAAGCCGACGGTGGGGGGTCGTTTAGGGCAAGGGTTTGCATGTCCTTGGTATGGTCGGAGACAAAACCATCGAAAGCCATTTTGTGTTGGTCAGAGCGAGGTTTCAGGAAGAAGAAAATAAGGGGAGAGAGAGAAAGAAACAAAGGAAGGTTTACGGAGAAGATATGAAATAAAATAAGAATAAAGCAAAGCGCGGTGGTTGGAAGATTGTGAAATAAAACGACAAAGGTATGATGATGATGATGATGATGCAGCAGGAACAAGAGGGGACAACCATTGACGTTTGAGTTAATTTTTTATACACTTTTTTGTTGGTTAATTTGGTTGCCTCTTGTCTCTTCTATTTCCTCTTTTTAACCCCCCTAATATTTTTACAAAAAAAATTACGATAAACCAACAATTAATTAGTTTAATGATATAAAATATTAATTTTTAAATATAATTAAATATTTAAATTTTAATAATTATAAATAAAATAAAATGTATTAAAATAATCATCTTATATTAATTTTTTATAATATATAATTTATATTAATTAATTAATTATCGATATATCTAAAAATTATTATGACCAACTCTTTTGAAGTTAAATCAGCATTCGTTGTTTGTTAATATTTTAAAGGGTAAAGTAAACAAATGTTCCCTCAATTATAAGATACTGCTTTAGTGACTCTCCTTATTATTAAAAGTTATAAAATGATTCTTCAATTATAAAGAGTTGTTTTATTGTGTTCATCGACTATTAAAAGTTACAAAATGATCACTTGATTATTCATTATATCCCAAACTCATCATTTTTTGTTAAAAGAAATTAATAGTCATTTGAGTTTAACGTTAACATGCTAACTAGGATACAATAGTAGTTCGAGATATGAGATCAGATTTTATCATATCCTAATCAGCAAGTTAACGTATAACTTATGTTGACGTCAACTTTTTAAAACAGAAAATGCCGAGTTTGGAACATAATGAATAGTCGGATGACTGTTTTGTAACTTATAGTACTCAATTAACTCAACAAAGCAACTCTTTACAGTTGAAGGATTGTTTTATAATTTTTGATAATTAGAGAACTTGATAAAGAAATATCTTATACTAAGGAGTCTATTTATGTACTTTATCCTATTTTAAAATATCTAATATAGACGGACTTTTTAAGTAGCACATACAAAAGCAAGGTGGTAATAAATAACTAAAATTGAAGGTGAAAGTGGAAGCAAGGGTAGAACGAGCTGAGTCGAGTTTGAATATTGTTGAGTTAGATTCAAAAACTCTGAAATGGAGCTCGACTCGATTCGAAAATTCGCGAACTTAAAATTTTCAAGCTCGACTCGAATTCGAAATCTTGAACTGAAGCTCGTGAGCAGCTTGAAAAAGCTCGAAATTAAAAAAAATCTTAAACTTAAATCGATTGAAGCCTCAAACTCAAACTCGAACATAAATCTTAAATACATAAAATCTTATTGTATTTTAAATAAAAATCAATGCATAAATATTAATATTATTAATAATTTATTTTTAAAAAGAATAAAATTTTAATATATTATATTTTTGAGCTGCTCACGAGCTTTTCAAGTCGAATATCGAGTAGTTCGTTTCGACTCGTTAATAACTCGAGTCGACTCCATTCGATCCAAATATTTATCAAACTTTAATCGAATCGATCTCAAATAAATCACGATCTATCTAGTCTCATTTACAGCCCGTAAGATCCCACACCTGAGGGGCACTAAGAGAACCCAGCAAACTGTATGATCGCCACTATACCCTGCATCTCCCCGTACTCTCAACACGTGTTGCCATAAGATTTCATTGGACCACCTCGCAAACCGGGTTCGTCCGTACACATTGCCGTGTAGCCAGGGGCCACCACCGCACCACCATGCAAAACAAACAGCTACATTACAATTTACATTTTACACACATTTATTTTAATCAATATATGCATTATTTAATGATAATAATAAAAAAAACTTTATTTTATTAATTTTAAAAAATCTGATTTATTAAATCATTTTCGGTTAAAAATGACAGTTGTTTAAGATTGACATTAACATGATGATTATGATACGATAGTCGTTTGAGATTTTGAGATCAAGTTTTATCATATTACAATCAATAAAGTAACATTTAGCTCATAATACCGTTAATTTTTTAACAGAAAATGATGAGTTTGAATCATAATGAATAGTTGAGTAATAATTTTGTAACTTTTAATTGTTGAGGGAATCAACAAAGCAACACTCTATAGTCGAAGAATTATTTTGTAACTTTTAAATTTTAATAGTTAAGAGACTTAATAAAGCATTACTATATAATCGGAACCATTTGTATACTTTACCTAAATTTAAAACATTAATACAGTTGATAGTAATAATAAAAGGACCTAACTCCCCCTCTCTTATATTCGACATAATTCAAACGCTAGAGAAAATAATTTTAGTGACCGAAAATCTCTTATAATATACGATTTTAACAATTTTTTTTGATTTACAAAAATAACCAACGAATTCCCAACTCGAAATCCAATTTCGCAACACATTTTCCGAATTCGCAACTCGAGTTTGGAATTCGCAAAACAGAAGTAGAATTCGCAACTCGAACATGAAAATTTTCGCAACGCGAATTTTGTTTTCGCAACTTGAAGGTAAAAAATCCGAATTCGCCAATTTGAAAACTGAGTTGCGAATATGGCGAATTTGACAAATTTCACAACTTAATTACCGATATAGGTAAACATGGTAGAAAAATAAGATAAAAAATCTGAATTCGCCAATTTGAAAATTGAGTTTCGAATTTGACAAATTCGTATTGCGAAATGTAAAATCTCGCTTCTTAAAGAAACAATCGTTTTGATGGTTACGAATTTGACAAATTCGTATTGCGAAATGTAAAATCTCGCTTCTTAAAGAAACAATCGTTTTGACGGTTCATTTGTTTGTTTGGTTAAAGTTAAACGAACGAACCAACTAACCAACATGAACATACTCTCGTTCGTGTTTGTTCAATTCATTTACAGGCGTAGGTTTAGCTGAGTGATTTATATGTGGACTTAGCAACTGAGATTTTTTTTAAGAGACGAGATTTTACATTTCACAACACGAATTTTCCAAATTCGCAACTCATTTTTCAAATTGACGAATTCAGATATTTTATCGATTTTTTTTTTCGTGTTTACCTATATCGGTAATTGAGTTGCGAAATTGGCGAATTCAAGTTTCGAAATTGGCGAATTCGAGCTGCGAAAACGAAATCCGCGTTGCGAAAATTTCCATGTTCGAGTTGCGGATTCGGAAACTGTGTTGCGAAATTTGATTTCGAGTTGTGAATCCGAATTCGAGTTGCGAATTCGTTGGTTATATTTGCAAATCCAAAAAAAATTGGTTAAAATCGTATATTATAAGGCATTTTTCGGTCACTGAAGTTATTTTCTCTTCTTTATATTGTTTGTCGCAACATGCATATACCAACAACCAAAAAAATCAGGATAAAGTACATAAATGATACTTCAACTATAGGATACTATTTTATTAAGTATATTGACTATTAAAAGTTACAAAACAATCCCCTGACTATAGAATGTTACGTTGTTAAGTCTTTCGACTATTAAAAGTTACAAAATGTTCACCCAACTATTTATTATGTTCCAAACTCGTCATTTTCGTTAAAAAATGGTTGTTGTCTAAGGTGAACGTTATCATGATGATTGAGATATGATAATCGTGTGAGATTCTAAAATCATATTTTATCATTTTACAGTCAATAAGTTGACATTCAGCTCAGAATATCATTATTTTTTAACGCAAAAATGACGAGTTTAGAACACAATGAATAATCGGATGACCATTTTGTAACTTTTAATAGTCGAGGAACTCAATAAAGCAACACTCTATAATCGAATGATCATTTATAACTTTTGATAGTCGAATAACTTAATAAAGTAGTATTCTATATCCGGTGGACCATTTGTGTACTTTATCTAAAAAATTATATGTATCTTACACTGCATGGAGGACGGAATTATAAACTAAATTTGAAAATAAATTATGAGATTACGTCAATTGAATTTTAGTTCAATTAATGTTTTTAAAGGTCGTAGATTTCAGTTAGTGTTTTCTAAAGTTTTAGATTTAATCACATTCAAGTATAATTTTTATTTCATTTTTTTAAAAATATATTATGAATAATTTAGATTTTCTGTCAAAAAAAATATGAAAGATTTATAAATAGGGATGAATATAAGCGGGGCGGGTGGGGGCGGTCACCTCCCCTTAAAATTTTAAAATTACTATATATTTCAGATCTTTATATGTATTACTTATTGAAAATATATTTTCAATAGTAAAATTTTATAAGTTCAAATTTACTCTCTTAAAATTTTATATGTTTAAATTTACTCTTAATATAAAATCTTACGTTTACTTTTGTCCATGTTATTATGAATATGAAAGATTTACAAAAAGTAAGAAAGGAGATTCGTTATTCAAAACCCAATAAGTTTAAGTTTAGTCGACCCATTTACTTTAAAGAAAATTGAAAAAGCCAATACAGGCTGCAGATAATTTTTTCGCATGATAAATTACACCGTTCTTCATTGAATTTTATTATCTCTCATATTTTATTCATTTTATTTTTATTTTTTTTAATCTACTCACTGAATTTTATAGATTTAATCATTTTGCTCACAACTCGATTATCTTTCTAACGTTGTGATGACATGCCATTTTTTTTTATTATTTAATATAAAACAATTGAAAATATAAAAAGTAAATTACATCGTTCCTCACTGAATTTTACTCTCTCTCTCTCATATTTTACTTACCTAACTATAAAATAGAAACAGAAAGTGGCTGAATGCTACCGCGGGTCACCGTCGACCGCCGTAGATGGTGGTCGTTTGGTTCCAAATTTCATGGGTTGCTTCACCTCGACACCTCGAGTCCAAATCCGGCCACCATTTTGTCGGAACTTGCTCTGAAATCCACGAATTGGAGATTGAAAGTGAGAAAGCCGAAACATTTCAGTCGAGATTCACATATTTTGTGGTATTTTTCGGTGAAACAACCACCAGATTTGGACTCAGGGGTTGAGACGAACCGACCCATGAATTTTGAGACCAAACGGAACAACCATTGTCAACGATTGTAGACAGTTGACGACGACGACAACCGATCACTTTATTTTCAAAGTAGAGAAAAAAATAGGGGGAAAGTAGAGGATTCAAAACGACGTTGTTTTGGTGTATATTTGAGTTTTTCAAAACAACATTATTTTGATAATTGTTCCATGTCATAACACCGTTAAAAAGCTAACGATTGAGTGAGCAAAATGATTAAATTTGTAAAGCTCGGTGATCAAATTAGAAAAATTGAAAGTACGGTGAGTAAAATAAGAGAGAGAATAAAATTCAACAAAAAGAATGTTATTTAACTTTTTTTAAATATAACAATGTCAATTTGGCATCTGTTTATATTTTTACTTTGTGGTTTACAATTAAATACACTTTTAAAATTTAATTCTTCTTTTTGACACTTGATTGGAATAACCCTAATATATATATATATATATGTGTGTGAGTGAATAATTTTTTTTACATGAAAATTTTGTTTTTTAATTTCCAGGTATTCAAGTTCATTTGAGTTTTAATTTAGAATTCGAGAGGAATTTGAATTTAAAAAATAATTAAAAGGTAAAGTATTAAAGTAATGTGATTTTGAATTTTAGCCAAGTGAATTGATTTAAGCAGAAACCGGGAAACGCAGTCGTATAAGACCCATTATCCTGCCATCCATCACTATTTATTTCTCCCTCTGGAAATTTAATTATGGTTTAACAAGTAAAATCAACAGGCCCAAATCTCTGTATGTTTGGACTTCAAATTTCTTCATAGAGACCCTTTGCTTCCTTCTCTCAGGCGATCCTGATTCTCCTTCTAAAGGTTAGTCAGATCCATTCCTCCTTCCATAGTTTCTTCAATATTACTGCTAGATTTTTGTTTACTTCAAACCTAACATCGAAGTTCTCTTAAAGTTTTGCATATAATCCCATTTCTCGATCTGGATTTTCCCTGATCTGATAAAATTTGGACTTAATGGGTAATATTGGGATCTGGGTGTTTGCAACGTGTTTGATAATTCAATCTGGATATGGCTTTTATCTGCCTGGTAGTTACCCTCACAAACATTTGGTTGGAGGCTACTTGTCTGTCAAAGTGAATTCTATAACTTCCATTGACACTGAAATGCCCTTTAGCTATTATAGTTTACCCTTCTGTAAGCCAAAAGAGGGTGTTAAGGATAGTGCTGAGAACCTTGGTGAGCTTCTCATGGGTGATCGGATTGAGAACTCGCCGTATAGGTTTAAGATGTATACAAATGAGACTCAGATCTTCTTGTGTCAATCCGATAAGTTATCGGCGGATGATTTTAGGTTGCTGAAGGAGAGGATTGATGAGATGTATCAAGTTAACTTGATTCTAGAAAATTTGCCTGCAATAAGATATACTATGAAGGAAGGTCTTACATTGAGGTGGACCGGATATCCTGTTGGGGTTAAGGTTCAGGACGCTTATTATGTGTTTAATCATTTGAAATTTAAGGTGCTTGTTCATAAGTACGAGGAGACGAATGTGGCACGTATGATGGGGACGGGGGAGGCTGAGGTTATTCCTGGTATTGACAATGGGGGATCACCTGTGCCTGGGTATATGGTTGTTGGTTTTGAGGTGGTTCCTTGCAATGTCATGCATAATGGTAACTTGGTTAGGAACTTGAAAATGTATGAAAAGTACCCATCTCCGATTAAATGTGACCAAACTAGTGTGTCAATGCCCATCAAGGAAGGAGAGCCAATTGTCTTCACCTATGAGGTAGCTTTTGAGGAGAGTGATATTAAGTGGCCATCTCGTTGGGATGCTTATTTGAAGATGGAGGGATCCAAAGTTCATTGGTTCTCAATCTTGAATTCTCTTATGGTGATCACTTTCCTTGCTGGTATTGTCCTTGTGATCTTCTTAAGGACCGTCAGGCGGGATCTTACCCGTTATGAGGAGCTTGACAGGGCCCAAGCACAAATGACCGAGGAGTTATCTGGGTGGAAGCTAGTTGTCGGGGATGTTTTTCGTGCCCCATCTAATCCTGCTCTTTTGTGTGTTATGGTTGGGGATGGAGTTCAGATCCTTGGGATGGCTGTTGTAACAATATTATTTGCTGCTCTCGGATTTATGTCACCAGCATCCCGTGGAACTCTTATTACTGGTATGCTATTTTTCTACCTGATTCTTGGTATTGCAGCTGGTTATGTTTCAGTTCGTCTTTGGAGAACGATTGGCTGTGGCGATCACAGAGGATGGGCTTCTGTCGCTTGGAAGGCTGCTTGTTTCTTCCCTGGCATTGCCTTCCTGATACTAACCACTTTGAATTTCCTGTTGTGGGGAAGTCACAGCACAGGAGCTATTCCATTTTCTCTGTTTGTTATTCTACTTCTACTTTGGTTCTGCATCTCGGTTCCACTCACCCTAGTTGGTGGATACTTTGGGGCTAAAGCACCTCATATTGAATACCCTGTTCGAACCAATCAGATTCCTCGGGAAATTCCAGCTCAAAAGTACCCATCCTGGCTGTTGGTTCTTGGTGCTGGGACTCTTCCTTTTGGTACGCTTTTCATCGAGCTTTTCTTCATCATGTCTAGCATTTGGATGGGGCGAGTTTATTATGTCTTTGGCTTTCTGCTCATTGTTCTGATCCTGCTTGTTGTGGTTTGCGCTGAAGTATCTTTGGTGTTAACTTACATGCATCTCTGTGTGGAGGACTGGAAATGGTGGTGGAAGTCCTTCTTTGCTTCAGGTTCAGTTGCTATCTACATCTTCTTGTACTCCATAAATTATCTCATATTCGATCTTAAGAGTTTGAGCGGACCTGTGTCTGCGACTCTCTACTTGGGGTATTCTCTCTTCATGGTTCTAGCAGTCATGTTTGCAACGGGCACAATTGGATTCCTTTCGTCTTTCTGGTTCGTGCATTATTTATTTTCTTCGGTAAAGCTGGATTGAAGAAACTTCTCCCAACATAAAAAAATGGATCATCAATGTGGTAACTGGTCCTAATTGAAGAGGCTCTGGAGAAAAGAATACTATCCCTTTACACTACTCATTCGCCAGTTACTTGATACTTTGAGGGTTGTTTTTTTAGGAAACTTTAGTAAATGTAATAATAATTTTGCACAGTTTTGTTTAGTTCTTTGTATTGGAGACTGCTTTGGGTTGTGTTGGCAACTTTCTTTGTGCTGCTTATACTATTTTACTTCAGGTGCAAGTTAACTGAGTATAACTGATTGTTTGAAGGGGAAGTTTACAACAATGGAGGCGGTCACTTGTATTGCTTGATCATGGCTAAAAAATTAACAAACAAAGTCTTAACTTGTTTGAACACGATTTTCTTTTTCAAATTTAGATAGTTAGCAATCAATAACGTAAGAAGAAAATGATCATAACAAGAAATGTTGGGCATATTTGGATTCCTGTGGATGTAGATGTAGCAATACTCTTACAGGATTACAGTAATTATAAAATGATGAAGTCGTCATATAAACAAAGAAAAATCTAAAGAAAAAGGACAAAGGGATCAAACCAAGTGGGAAGAAAGAAAATAAATAATGGCTATGAGAAGTTTGTAGGGCGGATTTGATACTCCGGCAGGTTCTTGAGTTGCATTCAAGAAACCGAGTTGAGTTTACCACTGCCAGAGCCACCTATTCCTTGTGGGCTGCAATGGTGATTCAAAATCCTCTTTAACAAAACTTGATATGCATGCGAGCTCAAGGAAAACACTACTTTTAAATTGTCTCAATATATCTGATAGATGCAGAACTGCAGATAATAGAAGAGTGCCAGAATGAAATGTAACCTGGAAGGTGGAACTCCAAGGTTTTACTGATTCCCCATGTATGCACCTAGGATCATAAACTCCATGTAAGCATGAGAAATATCGTATTAATATAAACTTTTAGCACGACTAGAGGAGAACTGAGTTTACCAGAAGGCATTGCCAGTGTGAAGGGTGATTCCGGAGTAATCTTAGATGCAATATTGGATGAATGAGATGCCAAAGAAGGAGACTACAAAACAAACAACAATCAAGGCATGTACATTTTGAAATCGGAGGAAGTTAACAGATGCAGAAGATACTTCAGAGACATTGACGTCGGTGTCAGTGTATTAGAACAAAAATAAGAACTCTTGCAACCTCGAAAAATACTTCATTAACGTAACTCAAAGTAGAAAGGTCGAGTGGCACCAACAAAGGCGGGAAAAGTTTGTGATGCGGTTCTTACAGGTGGGGCATGTGCTGGAGTCACATCACTGTTGAGATCAAATGAATTTGGCCTAGCAATGCTTGTAAATCCTGCTGCAGGCTGAGAACATATGCATACGTAGAGTTTAGCGAATTCCAAATGTCAGTCAAGAAATAATTAACATACAAGTCATAGGATTTGAAATTCCTATGGCGCGGGATACCATTGCATTAGAATAAAACTGCAAATCAAACCCAGCTCCAGGGGAGGATCCATAGCTTTCAGTAAAGAGATCCTGCAGGGATGGAAGGAAACACTGTTAAGAAAATTCATAAACGTCACATAAAACAGAATATAATCATCACCTGTGGAAGTTCCCTTCTTCCACTAGACTTTGTTTCTGCTGAAAGAGGCTTCACTCTGTCTTTAGAACTAGTTTCTTCAGCTGATTTTGAGGTGGCATCGGAAATTTGTTCAGTGGATAAATTGGAAGATTGTTGAGCATTGTGCATCGGCAACAACATACCAGGCTGCAAATATGAACATGAGGCAACAGAATTAGCAAGTGAAATGGACTTCACACATTTTTATCAAATTACGGGGCATGTTCTTCAGGTTTCTCTAATTTCCACCAACTTCTAATCAACTCCAATGATAACCTGGTTATTCAATGCTTCAACTGTTCGAGGACTTTGTTCTGCATGCTTTTGCATCCTGGGAAAGACATGCCCGTAAGGGGATTGTACTTGTGGGACATTGATAGCTGGTGGAACTGGTGAGGAGCCTTTTTTACTTGCCAATGCTAAAATCTGACCCTCAGGTATTGCTGGAGACATACTGTTTAATGAAATGTTCTGTCCGGAAGCAGTCGGTGGAGCACCTGCACTGCCTGGTACTGTTGACACATTATCAACAGGTACCATAGAGGGAGCTGAAAGATCAAATAGAAAAAGATCCAAGGGGTTTGCATTGGATTCCGGAGTTGCTTTTCCCTTTGAAGAGAGTTCATCTGTCTGGTTACCAACATCACTTGACGGTGGCGCCGGCAGCAAATTTGGTGATGCCTCAGCATTTGACGGCAGAGCATCCATGCTGAAATCAATCAAGCTTTCCATGCCACTAGATGATGATGAGTTCTTCTGCGAAGCGTAAAAATAACAGCATAAGTGAATAGTCTTCTGAACCGCTGCATGGAATGATGGAATACAGTTCGGTCATCCACAGCTTCTCGGGGAACAATTAAAATTAGTTTATAGGAGTAGTAAAACAATTTATTTTAGATGAATTATTTATGTTTCTCTTTAAGATTGAAGTCAGTTAACTTGTGATAATTTTTTTAATGATATCCGAACATTTTTTAGTTGAAATATCTTCTTTTGAACTGTTCAACTGTTTAAATGTGAAGCTCAAATTATATCCCTTCTAGTGAAGACAATTTACCTAAAAAAATATTTTAGGATTTTATATGCTTAATTTTTATTTTATTTTTTTATTTAAGTTATGAGTATTCAATTGCATTATAAATTTATAATGTGTTAATATATTTATTTTATTGTTTAAATTGCTAAAATCATTATCTTTAGAGAGTTATACGTTTCAATCCTACCATTATTTAGAACTAACTATTCTATAAGAGAGTGTCTCACCAATTTTAATTTACATATTCAAATTTAGTTTTTTATCTTTCTTCTTTTAATTTATTTGAAATTTTAACTTCTAAAATTTTCAATTGAAAAAATATGATCCTTCCAAGAAATCAAGATCTTTTTTTCCCATCATTAGTTCATTCACAAATCAATTTATATGTATTGTTCATTCACAAATACTAAATAAATGATTCAAATATGCACACGAAATCCTATTAGAGTTTCATATCTGAATTAGGTTCACTTGCCTGTTGTATATTTCTGAATCATCATTGTGTGTGCTACTAAAACTAATCAATTTGGTTTCTTAGAACCAAAATAAAAAAAAATGATCAACAACAAGCCTCTGAAAGGGAACGCCATTAGAGTCATATTACCTAAAGAAGTGGGCAAAATTACCTGGTTTTGAGCAGGAGGAGCATCAAGGTCCCTTCCAGTTTTTTCATTTGAATGTTCACCCACCTGTAAGGCAGGAACATTCTCTTCCAAAATATCTCTAATGGGGCGCACCACTGGAGAAACAACCCTATCTAGGTGGTCAGATGACCTGCTTCTCACATGTTCACCCTGTGGAATGCTGGGGTTATCTTTTCTTATGGCATTTCCAGGACCATCGTATCGGCGCCTGTTATCGATAATCTCAATTTGCCTATGGTTTCTAGGAGAAAATTCATATCTAGAATTTTCTTGGGGAAGTCGAGGACTTCTTGGCTCAGTATAGATAACCCTAACAGCTCCAGCAGGACTAGATCCTCCGTATTCATGTCTACCTTCATGTAGTGTAGTTTTGGATCTAGTAAATACAATGACCTTCTTCTTTTCAGGGGATTGCGCTCTGTATCGCTGTATTATTTGTAGAGAAATCTATTAAAGGTAAACATCGGAGTGGGATTTGAGAGAGAGCACCAAAAAAACTTGTTAAACTATGCCACCATTAAAAAATTAATGTGTCCCAAACTTGTCAAACTAGCAGCTTTAATAAGTTGACCGACTATGGCAAGAAAGAGACATAGAAGTATAATATGTATATATAAAAGGTTAACCAGAATCATTACCAATCCCGGACTTGGAATCGTCTCGCCGGTGAATTTCTTATCCACATAGACATGCTTGATGAAATTCCGGAGCATAGGAAGGTCACTGAAAGCAAGCATTTATGAGTCGGGACAGATTATTAATGAAGCATAAACAAATCCAGTGAAAAAAAATGATTGATTACCTGGAATTGGGTAAAGAATTGCGTTGAGGATCCCATGTCTTAAAGTAAATTTGTCTTGCTCGCTGCAAAAATCACGAGAAGCAAGTTAGAAACAAGAAACTGGAATCAAAGATATCAGCAGTGATTGTTCATTGCGGACCTCGTTTCCTCCTGCTTGAAGAGCACTCGCTTCTTCTTCAGTAAATTTAGCCATTGATACTGATTTCACCCTATGAGTGAATTCCCTACTGATATAGTTTAAACAATGCTTACAGTCAAATATCAAATGGCAGCAGTTTTTAGAACCTCATTCTGAAAAATTAACTCGACAGACTTAAGAAAATGGAATAGAAGCAGGAACACTTATACTAAAACTTACTGTAGTCCGCTACAGGTGGTGCAAACGAAAGTCGAGAAAGTGGTACAAACATATTGGGGACCCTGCGAGAAGAAAAGTTAATCAATGTTAAGATTTTAATTTGCTTTCTAAATCGATGTTTTAATGCTATCACCGAGAATTTTAGGGGAAATTAGAACCCTAGAAAACATTTAAACAAATAAGTTATCTAAACAAGCAAGAGAAAGGGGAAAGTGTACCAAAAGATTGCAATTGATGCATCTTTTATTTCCGGGAAGTTTGAGAAGAGATCGAATTGTCTCCTCGATCCTCTCATCATCCTTTAATTTCTTCTTATCCCGCATTTTTTTCCAGACAAAAACAACAACAACAATTTTATCCTTCTTTCATCCAAAACGATTCAGAACCCCAAATCACTAAACACGCATACAATCGTTTTGATATATAAGAACATGATAATGCTAAGTTTCAAGCTCTGTTAGATCCATTTGGTGAATTGAGAAAATCAAATTTTCTTAGGAAAAAAATTAATATCTACACCTTCATTATTAGGCGGAGAGAAAACAAGGAATTGAGAAGATGATTGAAAAGAAACCATCAAACTAACAAGAAGAGCGAAAGTTGCCGGGAAAAAAGGTTAGATGACCCTTTTTGAGCCGTTGAATTTTGCTCACTAGATTTCTCTTTACTATTTCTTGGCCTACGTATAACGTATGCATGGCTTGATTAGGCAATACTACAAAATTCATAGTTTTCTATTAAAATTAGAAAAATAAAATTATATTGGGACAATTTATATTTTAGATTATTTAATTTAATATTAGCTTGCGGTATAAATTAAAAGCTTTAAATTTCATTAAATTACATTTTTTTATAATCAGTAAGTACCAATACAATCAAAACTAAAGCCCTATCAAGGCATCACCAAACTATACAAACAAATCAAACAATTTCAACTGTTTTATGTGAATTAGGACATAACGCACCATCCACATTAATTTTAATCGAGCTTGGGGTAGGGCAACTCCACGTGCGAGTTCTAGAGGGGGTGCTCCTCCCACCAAGACCTGCAAACGGGGTTGTTGTCTATTTAAACTCGCCGAGGAGACTCCCATGGAATGATCCTAGGAAGTGTGGCTAGACGAATTGACCCCCTAACTCCTCGGAGTCAACAGAAGTATGTGTTTTTATCCAGGGAATCAACTTTGCGGTCGAGAATGGATGGTGCGACGTCCTCATTGATGGAGATGCTATCTCAGTGGTTAACTGACTGGCAAACAAGACTTCGAACAAGACCCAGGATCTCTCTACTATCGGATTGTTGCTCAATGAAGCCTGCTCCATGCTCGATGGAAATTCTTCCTTTAAAGTCCACTATGTATGTCGAGAGGTCAATAGAGTGGCTCATTCTCTCGCTAAATGGGCCTTATTGAACCCCAATCCGATTTGATTTTTTCTGAACGAACCTGAATGTATTAATCATGTTGTTCTCTTTGATGCTATTGGAATATAATTCCTCCCTTTCCTTTATTTCCCAGCATTTCTATGGTTTCTCTTCTTTTTCAATATTCTTTGTAATTAAAGTGAATTAAACAGCCTTGAGTTCGTTTATATTTAGTTTAAAATTCGCTTATTTACCGCCAAAATCCCACGATATTATTTTCATCAACTGATTTTATAATTAATATAAATAATTTAACCTTATCATGTTAATATTGTATAAATTATACGATTTGAATTAGAGCATTAAAAATGTTATAATTTGATATATTTTAATAAAAAATATAATTTCATTCAAACATGTTATCGTCCAAACCGACAATACAGATGTTGACAAGCTTCTTACGCTAGTCTCTAACGTTAGTTTACACTCTCTAATTCGTGTAATTAATAGCCTTTGTCGGAAAATATAAATGGTACATTTTATTCTGCTAAACTGTAAAACCGATTCAACAACCGATTTCATAACTAAATATGATATGAATCTCTTGAAATCTTTGAACCACCCCCGAATAACTAGTTGATTTTATGTCTAGAGATGTATTTAGTTCTCCTTTTCATCGTGTAAAATTGTAATTTTTTCACTTAGACTTTTTTTAATTAAAAAATAATATAATTTCATTGGTGTTCTTAAGTTATGATACATATGCTTTAATGTTTCGGTTGAAAATGAAAATTTTAAAACTTAGATTTATATTTTATTTGTATCAAATTTAAAATTTAAATTTACAAACTCTACCTAAAGTTTAAAAAATTAAATAAATATGATAATTGACATAGTCTTAGAATTACTTTACGAAACTATTCTCTTATTTTTTTCGAATAGATATAAGCCTAGAATCTAGGCAAATTACAATCGCAAGTAAGGGGGCCTTGTCGCATCCCTTTCCAAGATTTCGAAAACTTTCGTAGGACTATTGTCGAGGATTCTAAGATCACCATCAGCTCCATCATTTAGTTTTGGTAAGAAATCAACAATCATGCAGGGATGGAACTGGAACTAAATATTGATAAGGATCGAAATATTAGATCATTTAAGGAAAATGTAAATATTTATTAGGTATTTAAACTAAAAATTCAGCACGAACTAAGTGATCTTAGTGTGATTAAGAGATTGTTGTTATCTTTGAGAATCCGAGCTCGAGCACTGTGTATGTAAGGGTATGAGCGTTCATTGTTAAATAATTGAAAATCTTTGTACAAATACTACATTGTATTCACCCTAAATATATATATATATATATATATATATAAAACTCAAAATTCACAAGACAACTTTTTATTTGTCTAATATTTAAACTTACAATGATCTAAATTGTAATTAGACCAAAATTTTAAGAACACAGACTTATCATTCCTTAGTTCGGCCCCCTACTTGATTAAATATTTAATATTTTTTATTTTGTAAATTTAAATATCCACTTTTATATGAACCAAAATACTATTAAACTAAAATTATATCGAATATATAAATTATAATAGGAATCAAGGCATCCTTAGGCCCCAACAGAGTTTAAAATCAACCTGTCAAGCAAACCAAAGATACCACATACCAAAACGAATGGGCTATCCGTGAAGGCTGAAGTTACCAGCTCAAAAGCATCAGCACTGTCAATATGCGATTATATTATTATAGGTTTGAGAAAAATAAAATTTAGGTTCAATTATGGTTGCAACTAATTGCATATTTAGATGAATTTGGAGATAAATTTGAAAGATCCAAAATTTTAGGGATTAATTTAAAATGTGGGTCATCGTTTAGAGACAGAATTGGAATGTTCAAAAGTTTAAAGATTAATCTATAATGAGAGTTATAATCTAGAGATAAAATTGAAATATTCAAAAGTTTAACAATCAAATTAAAATAAATATCATAATCTAGGGACATAATGTAATTAACTTTTTGTTTTCGACGTTCAAGATTTGCGGGTGCAAAAGGAGATCTCGTTTTCATTTGCTACAAACAAACAAGGTAGAATTAGATTTGGTCGGTGTCATACGGAGGTTCAAGTAAGGATGGTAAGGGGTCGGTTTAGTATTTGGTCGGTGTCATACGGAGGTTCAAGATTTTACCTCATATTGTAATATCCAGAAAATATTTGTGAATTTGGGCATTTGTGGGTTTAAAAAAACCTACATTGTTTGGATTTCGTCCACCTCATCCACGTTCCCAATTTCAATGCATTATTAGATTACCCAGCGTTAGGGGTGTATTCGGTTCGGTTCGATTTTTTACCAAAAATTGAATCGAACCAAAATAAACAAGTTTTCAATATTTAAACCGAAATCGAAACCGAATAGTTAAAAAATCGAAAAAATCGAAATCGGTTTTTTTGGTTCGGTTCGATATTTTTAACGGTTCGGGTTTTTTGGTTCCATATGAAAAACTTGAATCGAACCGAATCAAAAAAATGAAACCTTTAAACCGAACCAAAAATTAAACCGTTTAAAACCAAACCAAATCAAACCGAACCATTTTACTCGATTCGTATAAATTTTTCGAATTTTTCGATTTCGTTCCCTAACTTGCGTTATCTCCTCCGCTCCTAGTATAACCTAACCCTACACACTGCATAAAAAACGCTTCATTTCTAACCCTGAACTCCCTTTCCCGACAAACAAACGCCCCCCTCTTGTACCCGATTGCTTCCTATTACAACAAACCCTAAACGATCATTCAAAAAGAAAAAAAACAAATCTATCTTTATAACTTCTCGATCTCCGCGTTTTTATTACTACTTTTAAGAGGAAAAAATCCTTTATTTGTCGAAAAGATTTTTTTTATTTGAGGGAAACAGGGGGAGATGGCGGGAGGAGGAAGCAGGAGAGACGAAGGATCTATGGTGATCAACAACACCAACGTGTTTGCTGCTCTCGAAACTCTTAGGAAGAAGAAGAAGTCTGACAAGGACCGAGGTTCTTCTAAAAAATCTTCTTCCAAGTCTCAGCAACAGCAACCGCAAAAAGAACCCGAGCCGCAGGTCTTTTGGGCTCCAGCTCCGCTCACTGCCAAATCGTGGGCCGATGTCGATGATGAAGACGACGATGATTATTATGCCACAACAGCTCCTCCTCAGTCCGTTTGGGGACCATCTGAGCCGTCTCAGAGTCACGAAGACAAGATCCTCAACTTAGAGGTGAATTAACTTATTGGTTTCTTTTCTTTTCTATTTGATTGCTATAGAATCAGTTAGTGTCAAATTTTAAAGTTCTAGCTGGATTTTATTTTTCGTTATTTGAATGATTGTGGATGGTTATGTTATGGGAAATTGTGGAATGGAAGCAGTGTGGTTGATGATTGGAAATGAACTTTAGCACTCAGTAATTTGGTCAATGGTTTTATAGCTGAAACGGATAGCATAATTTTCTATAGAATTCGGCCTCAGGTCCAGATGTTTGGGTTCTTATATCTCAAATCAAATTATTGTAGTCTTCATGTTAAATTGTTAGTTATTTTTGGTGAGAGCAGTTTGATATGAGAATGCTTCTACATGTGTCTTCATTGTTGCTAGAAGTTATTCGAGGAAATTCCTTTGAAGGTTCTACACTTCTACTGAAGTTGACAAAATGATGAATGGTGCTGAATGGTATTTATGGGAACTCCAAACAGTTCCCCGGAACTGGTAGAGGTCTATGCCATTAAATCAATGATGGATTTACCCAAGCAAAATTAGTAGTACATGAAAATTATCTATCTTTTTACCGCTAGTGAAATAAAATCATGCAAGTTCAAGATGAAGATTGGACGTTTGTTTATAATTAGAATGCACTTTTTTAGAATGGAAATCCTTAGAATGCTAATTATTCCGATTTATGTGTGAAGAAAGGAATCATGTTAGCATTATTTATTAGGAAACCTTACTCTGGGAAAATAGGAAAAAGAATCACAAGTCTGATGGAACTGAAGTAATCTCTCTCTCTCTCTTCCTTTTATTTTATCCTCCACCACTAGATCGCTTTGTTGTAAGCTTCCCCAAATCTAGACATTTATGTTATGTTATTGACTTTTTTCATGGGAACACCATTTATTTCACACCCTGCCTTATTATTTGATGTGGATTTTTCTGAATCTTGTTTTCCTTGTCGACAGATTATATAGGGATACTGGTACATCTTGCCATTCCTCTAGTTTGATTTTGGAACTTTAAAGATTTTTTCGTAGTCTTCTCACATAAATAGCTGAGATCTTTAAGGTGTCAAAATTTAAATTATTCGTTCTGTTCTAAGTGGAAGTTTATCGAACACTTCTTGCAATTTAAGGTTGAAAAAGGGCATAGTTGTTTGAATAAGTGAACGGCATATAAGATGTAACATTGCGACTAGCCGACTACTATTGTTTGCAGGGATCCAACTCAGTTTACTGGTGGGCCCTCCCAAGTGTCAGGCTCATTTATGCATTTTTTTATCCTACCAATAAGGATGTCTTTTGAGCATATTTATCCTGTTAATTTGGATGGCTATAGTTGATACAGGAGGAATGATGGAAATTAGTTTGCTTTCTCATTAGGTATCTCTCATTTGTCATTAACTTTTTAGTTGATCTGGGATGACAGGATAGTGATAGTGAAGAAGATATTTTAGATGAAGGTGATGATGATATAGAGGAAGATCATGACCAGGAACCAGAGCTTCAAGTACACCCAGAGCCTTTACCAAAAAAGGTTCCTGAAGCTCCTGCACCACCTAAGGAACCAGAAAGACAACTTTCAAAGAAAGAGAGGAAGAAGAAAGAACTTGCTGAGCTGGAGGCTCTTCTTGCTGATTTTGCAGTTACACAGAAGGAAAGCAGTGACCAGGATGAGTCACGTGGTAATTTAGCTGACTTGGTGCTTCTATTACTTCCTTTAGTACTCTAATTATTTGCTTCAAGCATTTTTCCCCTGGTTTTGGTGGAAAGCTGGCATTTTCTTTACTTTGTTGAGCTCTGAAAGCAGTAGTATCAAATCTTAGATGGTATTTTTTTGAAAAACAATGTTTTATTATTCAGTCATCGTCTATTGGGATGTAGTGCATGACGACCTTAAAGTTGTTTGTGAGTCCAAGCTTGAAAATTTGAAAATATCTCTCTCAATCCCATGCATGCAACTTTTTTATATTTACATGTTATCCTTTTAAAGGTTATATGTTGTTTGCTTAGCTGTAAAGAGGCCTGTACCTGTATGAAGATGGCTTTTCTAGTCCAGAATAGTTCCTTTGCTCAAATATCTATACACTGGAAGTCTCTCTGAGCTAGGTCATTATCTCTTGTATCTGCAGTTGCACAAGAAAAGAAAGATGGAGAGGGAGAAAAGAAGGAAAACCCTCCAGGAGAGTCTAAAAGTGCCAAGAAGAAGAAAAAGAAGGATAAATCAAAGGAGGGTAAAGAATCACAAGATCAGCCAACTGGTACAGTTGCCACCAATGAGCCAGATGAAGCCGCTGGAAATGAGCAGAATGAGGAGGATGCATCAGCTGTTGATGTGAAAGAGCGGCTAAAGAAGATGGCATCTATGAAGAAGAAAAAATCCAGTAAAGAGATGGATGCTGCTGCAAAAGCTGCTGCACAAGAGGCTGCTGCAAGGAGTGCAAGGCTTGCTGCTGCAAAGAAGAAAGAGAAGAACCATTACAACCAGCAGCCAGTGCGGTAAAGGCCACCCTTTTTGATCTACGTTACGTATACATATGAACATGTATTTCTCGTTGTTGTACGGCAATGTGAAATAAACAGTGGGCTAAAAGGATGACTGTTTTACTTTTATTTGAATGGACTGGAAGAAAGTTTCATCTGTTTTTACTTTTTGGATCTTACTGTTGCTCATTTATCATGGATTTGGGACACATTGCTCTGACTTTTTATTTTGTTTTGGCTAAAACTTATTTGGACGAGGACATTTGAAAATATTTGTGTATTACATTTTCTTTCTGATATGTATTTTTTGTGTGCATGGGACAATTTTATGTTTGATATAGCGAAACAACCTGTTACTGATTATAATTATTGTTAAAAGTGAGGACCAGTGCTTCTGCGTCATGATTGGGTGATCAACCGGGTACACATTTCCACATGCAGCGTCATGTAGCTCACGAGCTGGTATTGTTGTCTTTAGGTGTCGATATGATCGTCTTTGGGTGCCTACTTGGTGGATTATTCTAGGATTTAATTGGAATTGATCTAAAATCGGTTCTTTATTCTGCTTTGCTATCACTTTCCGGCTGGAATACAGCTTAGTTTCATGAGAAGAAGAAGCCATGGTATTTTATCTGTGCTTCGGCCTTAATTTCTTTACGACCACTGTCGAGAAGGACACGCCGACGACTAACCGTTGTGCTTAAAATAGATCTGTTTGTTTTTATAGAAAATGGATACTATGTCCCATTCCAGTAAAAGATAACGAAACAATTATTTTTCTATATATATAAAAAAGAGAGAATTAATTGTTTACTCTAATAATAAGAAATGATAAACCAATCTTCAACCGCTTCGAGTATTCTGGTAATTTCTCTTTCGATTCCCCTTCTCATTCTTCGACCATATAAACCCTTTCTTGATAAATCTCGTTTCTTATGCATTTTGCCCTTCTTTTTATCTGATTTAGTTTGTGTTTGTCTGTTGTTTTTGTTCCGCAAAGGCAATGAAGAAGGCAGGTGTTTCTTCCTTGAATGCCTATGCAGCATCATACGTACCTGTTGCCAAAAAGAAGGATCCAACTGTTAAAGATATCAAGCCTGGCAATGAGGCTGCTGCTTGGTTTGAACCTTGTTCTTTGATGCGAAATCCTGGTGAAATGAGTGCCGAGCAGATTACAGTTTCATATGAGGATTTCAACAAGGATTTGGAGTTTCTTGCTTGGTTATCCAGTGAGTCTGTTCTGAACGTGTACTTGGAAAATAATCGAGACCCGGAAGCCACTATTGACAGGCTTAATCGACCTGAGGTAAATTTTGCCCATCTTTGTTTCATAATTTATATAAATATGATTATCTGGATTCTTTTTCTCGAGCCATAGGAGGATGAATGCTGTTTAATCATTCTTCTGTGCAATTTCCGATCCCATCATGTTGTTGGTGTCTACAAATGAAGGAGTTTTCTACCTGTTTTTTCTCCTCCCCTTTGATCTTTTACATTGTTTTATGTGATTGATTTTCATTCGGTATGTGATTGTGTGCTTCTATTATTCTTACTCACATCACTTCCAGCTCTCTTTTGGTTCAGATGTACACTGTCGAGTCTGCCGAAACTCTTCCCGTGACATTGGACATCGGTGATGTCACCGAATCGAGGTCTTCAACACTCTTTGCTGGTCGTAGACCGACGAATGCGGCAGGTGAAACCGGTGGTGCGTCTTCGTCGTCGGGCTCTATGGAATCATATATTGCCTCCCTGACCGACTAAATCAAAAGGTTTGTGTATGTGGATAACAAAGTGTACACAACCAGGGAGGTTCATTATTGTACTTTGCTGTAAACATTTGAAGGGTTTAAGGTTGTTGCATGTATGTATAGCTTTGCCATTCACTTGACTTGAGCTTTGTTCACTAAAAGGTTCAATGCTGCAGCCTACGGTCCGGCTTCAATGTCTGAACGAAATCCCTGTAACACACATGCATGTGATGATCATTGTTTCAACTTGAAATGCTCTCTCTTCGAAATACAAACCAGCAAAATCTGATACGGACCGATTAATTTATATGATCATTCAAAATTCTTACCCATTTACATCGAACACTCGTACTCATGTCGTATTCAAATCTACGATCTTAAAAAATAAGAATAATTTTTTAATCACTGAGTTCATTTAATTCATGCTAGTATTATACTTGTATGATTATTTTTATTAATCTACGATAAGTACAACAAGTGTAATTGTTCAAAGATAACTCTAAATCATTTACCATTAACGGTTTAATTATCAAAACAGCAACTAAATATCAAAAAAAAAAAAAGACCAGACAACAATTCGACGGTTTAATTATCCAAACAGCAATCAATAACCCAAAAAAACAAAAAGGACAAACAGCAATTTGACGGTTTGATTGCCGTTAGTTTTGATTATGTTCGTAGAACACGCTCTTACTTTTTAACCAAAGAAAGGCAGACACTTTCACCCCAGAGATGATCAAAAAATCTCTCGACCCCTTTCATATTCTTTCTTTTTCATCTTCTGGTCTTTTCTTGTTCAATAACCGGAGGTTTTGATTGGACAATGTTCCTGTTGTCTGCAATCAAAAATCTCCATTTTTCATGTTCCAAAACAGTTAAATTTATAGATCTTGTTTTGCAGAATTTGGATTTATAGAAGAGGTAAAAGCTGGTGTTTTATGAATCTGGGTTTGGTCAAATTATTAATCTTTTCTCTTTGACGATTTATAGGAATCGAATCAAATTGCCGAAAGGATTAAAGAACAATGGGGGTGGATTATTATAACATATTAAAGGTGGAGAAGAATGCAACAGATGATGATCTAAAAAAATCATATAGGAAATTGGCAATGAAATGGCATCCCGACAAGAACCCTAGAGATAAAAATGCAGCTGAAGCCAAGTTCAAGCAGATCTCTGAAGCCTATGAGGCAAGTTGTTCCTGTCCCTCGTTTTCCTTATCTTGCAGTTGCTGCTCTCTTTAAATTGTTAATTGATGTAGCTTTGAAGAGATTAAGGGTTTTATTTTTTCTGGAAAAACTATATAGGCAGGCATTAACGGAAGAAAAACATGAGATGAAGCTATTTGAATATTCCTACATTTAATTTGCATCCTAGCAAGAACTAGAGGAGTTTATTTTGCATTTTGCATTGCACTAAATTAGTATTCGTGATCTCTTGTCCATTTGTTCTTATTGGGATTTGCTTTTAGATTGAAAATGAAGATGTAAATTGAGAATTAAATTGATTTTGTGATTCAGGTCTTGAGTGACCCTCAAAAGCGAGCAGTTTATGATCAGTACGGTGAAGAAGGGTTGAAAGATATGCCGCCGGCGGGTAGTGGCGGACCATCATTTGGAAAGGGAAGCAGTGGACAAAATGGGTTTAATCCTAGGAATGCAGAGGACATATTTGCAGAGTTCTTTGGAAATAGTCCCTTCGGATTCGGGTCATTTGGACCTGGTCGGTCTGGTCGATTCCACTCTGATGGAGGGAAGTTGGGAGGGTTTAGTTCCACTGACAACAGGAAACCTCCACCGGTCGAGAGCAAATTGCCTTGCAGCCTTGAGGAGTTGTACACTGGATCAACAAGGAGGATGAAGATCTCTAGAACCGTTGTCAATGCTTTAGGGTATGAATATGCATCTCCTAACATGAATTAGCTGCTGCTGCTCTGAATCTGAATTTCCCATAAATACCTACATTTTATAATCTCTTGCCATCATCAATGATGCTCTAGTTCCAGTGAGTTGACAGTCCAAATATGCATTTTCGTTGAACTTGAGAGGGGAAAAGAAAGAACCAAAAATGTTTTCATATCTTATGAATGCTGAATGAGTCTATTTCTTACATGCTTTGTGACATTCTCCTTTCTATCCGTATTTCGTTTTCTTGCTGAAAAACTAGTAACAGAATCTTATTGAATGCTTGAAATTCAATCTTTTTGAGATCATACAGGCGGCAAGTTCAGGAATCGGAAATATTAACCATTGATGTAAAGCCAGGGTGGAAGACAGGAACGAAGATAACATTCTCGGATAAAGGAAACGAGCTGCCGAATCAGCTTCCGGCAGACCTCGTATTCGTAATCGATGAGAAACCCCATGACTTGTACAAAAGAGATGGCAACGACCTCATTGTTTACCAAAGGGTGTCACTGGCAGATGCCCTTGGGGGTACAACAATAAACCTGGTTACTCTCGATGGCCGTTACTTGTCATTGCCCGTAACCGATATTATCAACCCAGGTTACGAGCTTGTCGTCGCTAGGGAAGGAATGCCAATCGCAAAGGAGCCTGGTAATAGGGGTGATCTTAAGATCAAATTTGAGGTGAAGTTCCCTACAAAGTTGACACCAGAGCAAAGAGACGAACTGAAACAAACCTTGTGGGGGTGAAGTAGGAATATTTCATATGCACCACCCAAGTTGAACTCAATCACCAAAGCTGTATACTAAACTCTCAACAATCAAATATATCTTCCAACACCTTTAGTCAAAATAAATAAATAAAAAGATAACACCTTTAACCTAACGTTGGATTTTTTTTCTTCTCTCTCTCTCTCTCTCTCTTGTTTTCTGTAGTTCTTATATTCTTGAGAGAGACGGTTGAAATTTTATAGGCAACAGTGTGCATTGTATAATTATATTTCTATACATAATTGAAACCCCATAGAGGTGGTAATATATGGATTTATAAGTATGTCACGCCTACTTTAAATTTGCATGAAAATCTAATATAGTCTGTCTTATTATTATTTTCATTTAAATAAAGAAGCTATGTGAAGAAAAAGACATTCATATAAAGCTACAAGAGCTAGAGGCACAGCTACATAAACGCTGGATTTACGAAAAATGATGGAAACTAAAAGCCTCTACTGTGGGGAGCATCTTTTCGCCAGGCAGGTTGCCCGGTTCCTACAGTTGTTCCATAAAACTGTGATCCGTTAACAGTGGTTGGCCTGGAGAAGGTGAACCAGGCTGAGGAACCCACCAGTTTCCGTGTTGACCTTGAACATGCATGGCCGGTAAGGTCTGGTGGTGTAACTGATGAGGTGCATGCATCGGTTGTTGGAATTTACGGACCTTGTTTGGTGGTGGCAGCATATGCTGCTGTTGGGAGGTTTGGGGCTGCCATTCAGGTATATCGTCATCATCGTCGACATCATTCCACCGTTGCATTGGAAACCCCACTGGCGCACTATTACTATTTGATTGCCCCCCGTACTTTTGTATCAGCTCCCTCATTTGATCAACAGGGCTAGATGATGTTTGAGAATGTAAATGAGAAGAGGTCATCCCTACTCGCTGGGATTGGCTACCAGTTGGGTATTTTGGGCCTGATGGGTTCGAGCCACCAGAGAAATTAAACTCGGGTAGGTCATCTTCATCCCGGGATGCAGCAGGGCCGAATCCTGGGGGCACATCATCATCGTCGTCATCATCAGGAGGGGTTACAGAATGGTAAACAGAAGTCGGTTTTGATGGGAAATTAGTATTCATGTTAGTAACAGCACAATCCTTTTCATGAGGTCTCCTAGATGTAGAAGTAGGAGTGAAGTGTTGCTTTTTGGTGGTGAACTTATGGTGCGAAGTTGAGTTGGGTGAAATTAATGGCGCTCTTCTCCATACAACAACACCAATTAGACCATTATCAATAGCATTAAGAGCCTGAAGTTGGTCCTTTGGGAGGATCTTGGTCAGCCTTTCGAGAGTTTTAGCGTATGGGGGACAAAAATAAATTTCCACTCCAGAACTAGCCTCAGCAAAACCCACTCTCTCATCCAAAATATATGAATCAGCCGCCTGCAAAAGGCCAGCATTTCATGTTAACTAATTAAATCACATGACAACCAGGCAATTAACCCACAAAATCTTATTTCTTTACCTCGAGAAGGCTCCCATGCTCGCTCTCGGTTGATCCCTCCTTGCAAACAACATGAACCACCTGCAAAAAAAGGAGTTGCATCAGCCTAACGAGTTAAATTGTGAAATATAAAGGCAATTTTTCGGAAGGAAAAAAAGGAGAAATGCAAAACAAATTTCATTCACCAACTGAATTGGGTTACTTAGTTGCTTAAGGGATCTCAAATATTTACAGACTATTACTATTTTTATGTTCCGAGTGTACACAACATTTGACATCCTTGATGTCCCTTGCCAAGAGTAATTTGGAAATATTGGCCACATTTTGTGCCTTGAATCAATTTCCTGCAGAGTTCATTTGTACTAGAACGAGGTTCATTGTTTTCCAGATATAAATCGCTCAACTAAGAATATTATTCGCTATGACAATCAGATGAATCCCTTCTTTGCAGATGAAGACGTCAATCTTTTAACTAATAAATTTGGTTCGCCATCTTTCTTGTTCGAATCAAATGAGTAATGTTCAAGTTCCATCTCTTTTGCCTTTTCAATTTTCACCTTAAACTTATGAACGTTCCATAAACCGAACAAAAATAAACAAATGAAAGAAAAAACTGGGATAAAAAGAAATTTTTGTTCCCCCAATTTTCTTTTGGGAAACAATATGGCAGTACAGGAATTTACTACAATTTAAATGAACTTGATATACCATAACAGCACGACTCCGGGACATAGGAAGCTCTTGGAGGAACTTCTCGAAGGCATCAAGTCTAACTCTGCCCTTAATTTCAAGAAGGCCAGGCCAATCCTTCGTAGAAGTTTTTCACCACTGCACCATGAAAACTAGATAGTTAATATGCGCAACCTACCTTAATTTGTAATCCCTACACAAGGTTAAAATTCAAGGACAATTACTCAGCAAGTCAAAAAGAGAGAGCGAGAGAGGGACCACAGCAAAATAGGTAATCACATAAACCAAAAAGACACTGGGTGTCTTCCACAAATCTATTTAAAATTTCAACCTAGAAGCAATCATGCCTCTTCAGGCAACAAGTTATAATCTAATTTCATCTAGATTCAATGGCAGATAACATCCGTATCATATAAATAGGAGCGAGCATATACAAACAGAAAAGAAAGAATAACAAATTATGATCAGTAAGAAAAACACTACAAACATAGCCTCGCATAAAATGCTGCACAACTTACCTCTTAAAAATACAAATGACAGGGGTCATGGTTGAGACATTCAGCTGGATCATCCCTTCCCAGACACGTTCACCCTTCAAAGTGGCTGCTGAAACTATAGTTTCCGTTTTTGTAGGAGTGACATTCAGCTTAACATCTGAATCAGATTTCAGTTTACTTGAATCAATGCCGTCAGGTTTATTAGACATTGTATCCGGAAGATCCTGTGAAGCTCGACCAGAAGACTTTGAGTCGGACCCAGCTGCCGAATCATCCTTATCAGAAGTGCATATTGATTTCCCAGCATCTCCAGGTAAATTCTCAAATGGAGGCTCCGAATCAAGAGATTGCATGAACTCATCAAGGGAAACGATAGGAGGAAGAAAATCTGCATCCTTCAATTCATCCTCTCCCATCAACCCTTGCATTGGATCAGGTCCCTCACTTGAAGGAATGGTAATGGTAAGATTTGGGTCTTCTGGATTAATCTTTTTACCTGCAGCATCTGATTCATCTTTCTTCCTAACAGTTTTATCATTCATGGAAGCTCGTTTCGCATCAGTTTTAGGTCTCTGAGTGACTGAAGTTCCAGCAGAAACTTCCACTGCAGAACTGTCAGTTTGTTCAATCTCTACTTGAACTTCACCCTTGTGCGTTTTCCTCACCAGACGTCTAATATCAACTTGTACATCAGGCAAAACTACCATTTGGGCAAGCTCTTCAGCTTTGGCTTGTCTCCACTGAGAAAGCTCTTTAGAAGCCAGCTCCTCAGCACTCATAGAACATAATCGGTTTGGGGAATTTCTCCAGACACAACTCTTTCTCTGAGTTCAGGGTTATTACGATCCTTTAAGTTAAAAACCAAAGACCTGCCCTTCTCCTTATACTTTTTATTTACCCCTCCAAATAATTTAAAGAGTTCTGCTTCAATTTGATATGGCAACTCTTCTGGAGACGGTGATGATTTCTCTAAATTATCCTTTCCAATTTTTTCATCATCTGGGATTTGTTTTCCATCAATTTCAAATTCCTTTTTCTTTGCCACATCTATTCCAGGTTCTAAAACCCACGAAAGGTCATTTCCCTGCAAAAGTTCATCTCTAGCAAAAATGTTGTCACTAAATGGAACATCCTCATCAGGTAACAGATTGCTAGATTGAAGTTGCTGCCCATTATATTGCACAGTTTGTGTAGCATCATTATTATTTCCATTTGGAGAACCACCCTGATTGGAGCTCAATGTCCTCTGAGGTTCTGCAGGTATAGAGAGAACAGCACCTGAATTATCAGAACCCAATTCAGCAGGGAGAGACACCTCTTCTCTCTTCCCTGGGGAAGCTGCAGCTTCATCATTTGATTTTTTCTCCACTGTAGCATTTTCAACTTGCTTCTGAGAAACCAAGGCTAGTGCACCAGCTAAATTCTCCCGCATCTTGGACCTCACAGATTCAAATGCCTCCATCTGAACCCTTGGTGATGGGCGCATTTGTGCAGGCTGATACCTTGAAGCTGATGACCCAGGTTTATTTGGAACTGCTTTCTTGTTTGATGCTGGAGAAGGCTGTGATCCAGGTGAATAGGAACCAGTCTGCACCTGAGCAGGTCTTTTACTAGGTGCAGACATTGGTTGCAACCAAGGCCTATGTTCCATTTCTTCCACTCGTTTGTTTGGCAAAGATAACTTTTCTGGAATAGAATTAGGAGAAATTGGGTCCATTGGTGCTTTGCGCTTGTTGAGAGTTCGTAATTGGTGTTGTCTCGGGCTATCCAGCATGGTGGGAGTTATTAGTCCAATTGGTTTGTTAGACATTAAGATCTGTTGTGGTAGCTGAGTATATGTTTGGGAACCAATTTTTCCACCTTGCTGTTGTGGTAGCAAAGTAAATGTCTGGGAATCAATGTTTCCACCTTGCTGCTGTTGTGGTAACTGAGCATATGTTTGGGTTCCATTGTTTCCACCTTGCTGCTGATGTGCTAGCAGAGTATATGTTTGGGAATCAATGTTTCCACCTTGCTGCTGTTGTGGTAGCACAGTATGTTTGGGAATCAATGTTTCCACCTTGCTGCTGTTCTGGTAGATGAGTATATGTTTGGGATCCAATGTTTCCACCTTGCCGCTGATGCGGTAGCTGAGTATATGTTTGGGATCCAAAGTTTCCACCTTGCTGCTGTTGAGGTAGTTGAGTATATGTTTGGGACTCTGTGTTTCCACCTTGCTGAGTCTGCGCCAAAGAAAACTGCAACCCAAGATCATTTGACATGGATACCATCTGTCCAATAGACATATTAGTAGGTATATGGTGCTGTAAGGAATCATTGGTACCAAATCCTATCAATCCCATGGATATGGGCGCATCCAATTTGCTGGAAACTGGTTCCAGCTGAGCCATTTGGCTACCGGACATTGACAACTGCTGTGATACCAGATCGTTTGACATACTAGATCATCACCATAGAACACATACAATACAACTGCAAGGTAAATTGTAAACATATCATCAATCCATTATTATACTATTAAAACATTTTCACAAGTTAAGATGTTCAATTCATCAATGAAACAAAAGAACAACCATACAGATCAAGCTCCAAAATTCATGCAACATGTTAAACGGTGATTAAAGCTTTTCCAGAATACTAAAACAATTCAAACGGCGAATAGCAGGCTGCATGTACATATAATTTTAAAAGAAAACATGAGTGGATGTACATATAAGTTCAACTATGGAAAATACTCAGATCGATTGCCATCCAAGTCCAAAAATGAAAAACAGGGATAAACGAAACACAAAGCTGACAGAATCATAATCAAATCCAACCATTTCAAAGCATCAAATCAAAATCAGCACGTGTTTCAAACATAAGAAAGATTCAACGAAATAATAATAATAATAATAATAATAATAATAATAATTCCAAGGATAACTAATTGATCGGGGGAAAGACATGCAAAGTCCAGAAATATTAAAATAAAAAAATGAAATAGAAGAGTAGAAATCCAAAGCACAGAAACGGATTCGAATCACAAACCCTAAACCAAAGAAGTAACTGATTTTTTAGGGAAAAAGTAAATTAATCAAATAATAGATCTAGAATTTTGAAGTTAGGAAGGAAGCTAACCTGAATCGAGGGAGCAGAACTGAGAAAGCGAGACAGTTAGAAAGAGGGAAAGAAGGAAAAAAGCTTGAAGAAAAGCTCGTTGGAGGCTTTGAAGGAGTTTGATCGTTTGGTTGCGAAGAAATGGTGAACCCTAAACAAAAAAGATAAATAGAAAATAATTGATAATTAAAAATGATAGAGAAAGTGATACATGCACTTCGTATATACATTACGAGTAGTGCTACTTCGGAGACGGATTAATGGATTGACCCGTGGACCATTTATTATCTTCTAAATTTGGGCCCAATATGATTTTCAGCCCATCAGTGGATCTTACCTAACATTAACTTGACCCGTTATCCACCCTCAAGGGTAATTTAATTATGGGTAAATTACACCGTTCCTCACTGAATTTTACTCTCTCTTATTTTCCTCACTAAACATTCAATTTGCTCAATTTTCTCATAAGGAATTATGTAATTTACCCTTTTTCTCCTTCTCTTCTCCATTTTCTCTCATCCGGCCACCACATCATTTTCATTTTGGCCACTGTCCGTTGTCATTGAGGATGGTTGTTAGGTCTCAAATTTCATAGGTCAGATTATCTCGACCCCCTGAGTCCGAATCTGGTGGTTGTTTCACCAAAAAAATGTCACAAAACTCGTGAATCTGGACTGAAATGTTTCAACTTCCTCACTTTCAATATCAAATTCGTGGACTTCGGAGCAAGTTCCGATAAAATGGAGGGTGGATTCAAACTCAAGGTGTCGAGGCGAAGCGACCCATGAAATTTGGGACCGAAATACCACCATTTACGACAGTCGATGGTGGTCAATGGTGCCATCTGGCCACCCTTATGTTTTTATTTAATATTTTTAATTATTTTATATTAAAAATAAAAAAATGTCACATCATCCAAACGATAGAGATAAAATAGGGAGCGAGCAAAATGATTCAATCTGTAAGATCAGTGAGCAAATTGAAAGTCGGGTGAGGAAAATAGGATAGAGAGTATAGTTCAATGAGTAACGTTGCAATTTACCCTTTAATTATTTGGCATTTCTTTAATTTTTTTTATTTGGACTATTTTCCTACACTTTAATACTAGCTATAGCTCGGATACTAGCTATAGCACGAACTGAGTGACCTTGGTGATAAAGAAATTCTTCTTGTTTCTTGAAATTTCGTGTTCAAGCACCATAAATGTCAGGGTATGAACGTTTAATGTCAAATAGTTAAAAATTATATTTAAACAGATATTACCTTGTAATTACCCTATATTAATAAAAAATAATACTAGCTCTAATTTGACAAAATGATTGAGTAAATGATGTGAGAAAAAAATTTACAATATAATATACTCCGGGGATTATTTTCCCATATAGGATGAATTGACAGTACCAACCTAAAGATGTCAGGTGTTCCACACGTCTTCAAACTAAATATGAAAATTCCACGACTGTATGGCGTATTCAGATAAATAGAGAATACCCCAGGAGTGCACGGCGTCTTCAGACCAATAAAAAACTTTAGATCATAAAATAATATGGTAGATGTTTTATATGAGAAAATCATTTTTTCCACAACCGTATAAGGGTGTGGAAGCCACTCTAATTTATTAGACTCAATCTTAAAACTTGTAATAGAAAGGCAGTACAAAAAAAAGCTTTTGTGTTTAATAACCTTGTTATAATTTGAGGTCGTACGAAATGACGATGGGAAGTTACGAAACATGTGCTAAAATTACCATCATCTAATCACATTACAGTAGAACTGTCAAGCCACGAATCACATACGATTATTCAACATGCGCAAACCAAACATATTTTTGTGGTTAGTGACTAATGCTCAACCAAACAAAGTTTTGGAGTATGTTAGATTCAAATAGTGCAATTTCCCATTGACCTTGGACTTCAAAAAGAAGTACTAAAAGCACAAAAACCGATGATCTAAAATGTTACAGTTGCAGGTGAAGATGGTCTGGAAGCATCCGAACCTGGTAGACATGTTACAACAATCATAATAAGATTGAACTTACAATTTAAAACATGACAGGGCATATGTATATCAGAACAACAAAAAGTTGTACAATTTTTACACATTAGGATCAGATTCTTCATTCTTCCGAGCAGGGGGGAATGAATGGTTATGGTCTAGAACATAAATCAGCTTTCCTCATCTTAAGAACACTGATCCAACTCTTTCTGGAGAAGTCATTGTTGCCACACATTTGAACTGTCATGGTGGTAACATAAAAACGTAATAAGAAGAAAAATTATACAAGAAACTTTATACCTTTTTTTTGGATACATACCAAGTTGTATAGAGATTAAATTTTACCTTTTGTTGCTTGTACTTCTCGCGTATAGCATTGAGGGAGCAACCATTAGTGTTGAGCTGCAGATCTTCCAATGCAAGAATCGTAGCTTTCAGCTCTGATACTTTATAATTAGTATAATGCTCCAGCGTTGGATTCTGTTTTTTGGGAGGAAAAACATGGGAAATGCAACATTGAGAATCTTTATAATCATAAAAAAGGGTAAACTATGCGGTTAGTATCTAAACTTTTAATTTTTTTAAAAACCATACCTAAATTTAGTTTTTGTTTTATTTTAGTACTCGTTCAAAATTTAATATTAAATTTTGAATTTTTTTTGAAAATTTAGATACTAAAATGGACTAAAATTTATAGTTTAAGTACCAAACGCTTTAAGTTGTTAACTGATGGTACTAAAATGAAACAAAAACTAAACATTAGGTATGATTTTGAAAAAATTAAAAGTTTAGATACTAAAATAGACCAAAACTAATAATTTATGTATTAAATACATAGTTTACTCTAAAAAGGAAAAATGAAAAATCAAGGTGGGGATCAAGGATTGCAGACCCATGGATGGTCTGATTGATTGAGAGTCCATCTGGCAAGGAAAACAGCAGATGCAGCGATGTTTGAAGGTAAGAACTTTAAGAAGGTGTACTCAAGAAGAGTCAGCTCTGCTAAATACTTGGCTAAGAACTCTAGTTCTAAACAAGGAACCTGTCCATCAAGATAATGGAAGTACAAATCAGGTTTTTTTTCTGATATTATTATTTGATTTTTTATACAAAAACATGTAGACGGTGATTTCCCAGATGTAATACCTTGTAAGTTGCTTGTGCTGCTTGAATGAATCTCCTGGGGAAAAAACAAAAAATTAGGGTTCAGAGTTACTAGACTATTTAATGGTATATTCAAACTTCAAAGTAGTGGTAGAAGATGGTGTCAGTTACCTGAGAAACGTTTTTGTGGTTGGAACAGATAACTTAAAATATAATAAATTAAGAACTTTGCTCTCCGTTTTCAGCACCTATAATGTAACTAGAATCAGAAACCATACATAACAGCAAATGTAACAAATATTACTGCATATAAGAGGGAAGTTTTCATAATTTTAGCGAATTCCATATAAAACAACTCAATCTATACTAAAGAGGGGTTTTATTTTTTTTCAAATTACATGAATGAATGAAAGTGTTATCGAGACTAAGAAATGTGTCGAGGTTTAGGCCTAATTCACAAGGAACTGAGGAAGTCTTATAGACTTACAAGAGGAATAGACCTCAAAAGTGGTTAGCTTTTCCGTAGGAAAGTTCCTCTGGGAATAATCAGTAATATGTTTCACCTAATATGAAAAACTTTAGCTAACTCACACCTCTGATTCTGCAATAGAAACAAAGGATTTTCTTTGAGAATGAGAAGGTACATTTGGTGCCCTAACAGAATAAAAAATCATATGCAAGTTGCTTAATTTTGCAGAAAGATTTTAATGTCAGCGTAATTGTTGTTCACATGATGTGGTTTGGAAAATAGAAAGTCCTTTTGGTAAATTTTTATCCACTTGAATCAAATCACTCTTTATAGTTTGAATTTAAATGCTAATGCCCAAAAGTTACAGAACTGTTGAGACATGTTCAGAATGCTAAGGAGAGAAATTTCCAGCAGCTGTAAAAAGGAAAGTAATAACTATTTGTTATTTTGCAGTACAGTGATTAAATCTCGGAAGCAGTGTTAAGAGGTTTGATTTGATGGGAGTCGAGTGAAGTCTGGAATCGAGAAAGTATATGGTCCGAACTCCGAAAGCATAGAATGATGGCAAATCACAAGTCAATGACTGCTATGTGCAAGATTAAGCAGCTAAAAAATCATACCTCTTCTCTTGTGTAGGTATTATCAGTGATGAAACAAAATTCTTCCACTCTCGGTGCACAAATCTCTTCATACTTTCTTCAAACCATAAAAGAATTTGTGTTATTATACTAAAGCACTCAGAATCCTTCAAGAAAGAGTACAAAAAGCTTGGAAGCCAATTAATGACGTTAAATTTGTCACTATACAATAGTTGAACTTGTCAAATTATAAAAGAAAAGCACCCAGAATCGTTAAACAAAGAATAGGAGAGATAATAATAGCGTTAAAAATATTAGCAAACCCATTCAAGACTTGGGTGCATGAAGGAACCTCAAGAACTATAGAGTAACTTTTCATAGCTACCAGAAATTCAAAAAAGAAAAGAAAAGGCTTCCTTTGTCACGCATGCATATCCATGATAGAATTGAGTACACGAGAGAGAGGAGTCCTTAATGTTGTTGAAATAATCATGATTAACGGTTAAAACCATCAGAGGAGATTTATAAAACGTAATTCTTAGTCACAATAACATCTAATAATAAGATTTGTACTAATGATATTTGAATTTTTGTGAAATTTATGCCATTTTTTACTCTGAGGCAGAAATAAACTAAAGAACTTACGAGGCAATTAGCATGCAAGCAACGCCAAGTAGCTGGAGTCGTTGTTTTTCTATAAGATTCTGAGAAAGAAAACGATCAATAAGGCTCACTGTGAGGTACAGTGAGTCTGGTACTAGCTTATATTCTTCAGAAACCTGAAACCGTATGAAAAAAACTATCAATAACAAGCACAACAGCTACACCAAAATTTAACTCGTCCTAAAATTTGGGGCGGGGGCTGGGGAATTATTCAGTCAAGTACAAATAGAGTGTCCTATTTAGGGCTTTATAAATATCTCTTGTACTTGGGAAAACATGCTGTTACATCTTATCCGGCATTCAAGCAGTGGAGACGAAAGTAAACAGTTTTCTTATATAACTCGGCTAAATTGACCTACCTCCACTAGCCAGTCAACTAAAATTCCCCGCATGCTTGGGGTAATATCCCGATGCAACTGTTCCATATAATTGATTGAAGGTCTTTGGTTAATCTGCGGAGAGTACAATCTCGTGAAATAAGTGTCATCTATGTTGCTGGTAGAGCAAAATTTTGAAAGCTAAGCGACATTCCTCCTTTGTAAAAACACATGCACAATGTGTTCCAGAATAAGATAGAAAAGTAGTATTTTAATGATGGAAAATAAAGCAGCAACATCAAATAAAATTTACTGAATGGTAAGATAGAATAGTGTTCACTCTGAAGCTAAATTGCTGTTATCAGAAAGCATGACAGTCACATTGGCATTAAGTGAATGAAAATTGCATCACCAACCTCAGTAACACGCATATTATTGTATATGTCAGGGGCATACATGCAACATGCTTGAGGATCTTTTAGATTTGAATCAATATCCACATCTTCTTCTGAGGCTCCTAATTTCTCGCAAACCTCATTTTCTTCTGCATCATCCAATCAAAGGCAACATGAATTTTACAAGAAGAATATTTAAGGGCCTAACTGTCAACTTTCTTGTTGACACTTAGCTATATTCTACACAACCATACATCAATGAGGTTATCCACTTTACTCATACTAGTCTCGTATTAGTCGGTTTGGTGCTTATCCACTTTAAAAATGGAACTTATAAAATGCCAAATGGACTAAGTAATGAACATTTTGGTCAAAATCCAAAATACTATTCTAGTATTTTCTTATTGTCTATCAACCATAGAACAGCGTTTCAGAAGGAAGAGATCTTCCATTTCTTAAATACCCGTTTATTTTATTTCAAATGGAGGTATCCCATTACATGGATCATTGTAAACAGAGAACAAACCTTTTTTCTGATGGCTATGCACTCCAACATCCATTGTGGAAGCCTGTATTGAAGGCATTGCATCGGCAACAGCACGTTCCCTTGCACCACAACACTTTGGTTCCGCTAATTCTCTTTCTTCCAGTATTACTGGTAAAGTGATATCTTGTGTTTCTACCATCCTTATTTTTGATAAGTCTTCAGCTAACTTAGCTTTCACATCCTCTTCAGGTGATAGGATTTCCATCGCAATATCCTCAAACGTTTCTGTGTTCTCACTGGGGTCTGTCATAGTGTGTTCGGTGGTCTGTCGACCAGCAACATCAGCGGTAAGTAAAGGGTATTTTGTTGCTAGGAGAATACATAAAAGTGAAAATCACTCCTGTACTTATGAGCATTATGAGGATAAAGCGATGAACTTAATATAGCATAAATGTTATTTGCATGTAATATTCGGTGCACAAAAAAAAATCTGACTAAACTCGTGACAATAAAAAGAAATAAATTTGATGCTCTCACCTGAATTTTAGTTGCATTTATGCAGTCATCGCACAAACTGTCATCACAGACATTAGTTACATCTTTAAGCACTGCCCTTCTTTTAGGCTGAAGGCCTACAGATGCAACCACAGAAGCCTTGTCCTCATCTGAGGCTGCTCTTTTGGAGTTCAATCGAAGAACACGTTTTTGGTCCTGTTTGAAAGATTGTTTTGAGGAGGAGCATTTTCCTCCAGCTGGCCCCAAGGTTTTAGACCTTGCTCGCGTAATTGGTCCTGTAGCCTCTTCAACTTTTCCAGTAGGTTCATTTTCTTTATTCATACTTGCTTGCCTTTTGCAAGAGCGATGCATGATTTTCAAATGGAAAAGTTTTTCATTGAATTTGAACCTGCATTCAGACACCGAATTTTTGGATGATGAGAAAGAATGAACACATTGGACAACTTGTTAGAACAAAATTATCTACCCAAAGCCTCATGCATAAAGTTACCGCTTGTTTTTGACACTAGGAAATTGTTTTTCTTAAGGATTTAAATAGGGACCGGGACACGATGTTACTTTACAGTTCTGGCTCTCAACATTATCAATATTCATCTAAACCTACCGATTCATGACAGGTCGCTATTTTCGATTTTCATAGAAGTTATCGACCCAAAAAAACTCTTAGCCTCATGCACAAATTTACCGCTTGTTTTTTACACTAGAAATTTGTTTTCAAGGATTTAAGTAGGAGCTGCAACACGACTTTCTGTCGGTTTTTGCAGTTTTACTCTCTCTCCGCTACCGGTTCATATAATGACGACCTACCACGTCAGAGGTAGTCATTTTGAATTTACATATTCGATTTCTAGAGCTTTAATAATCCAAATAAAGTACCAAGTTCCAACAGTCTAAGCGTCTATGGGGAGCTTTGAACAGAGCAACCAGATTTGTGATTTAAGCTACAAACCTTTACAATTACGTTCTGGTTTTTTTAAGAATCCCATACTCGATTTTTTCTTTTTAAGGTAGCCAAACAGAGGATTTATACAGTGTTCTTTTCCTCATGGTAACAAAGAAACCGGAAACTCAAAAACCTAATTCCTAAACAATTACATTTATCATCGATATCTTTGGAAAAGAAAAGAAACATCAACTCATATCCTAGCGAAAGCAATCCAAAAACTAAAAGAAGAAAAGACGGTGGCTCCGTTATAAAATTGCTAAGAAAACTACAAATTCATAAGTAAATACGTAATGCAATTAAAGATCAAGTAAAATTCAAAATGAAAAGAAAAAACCGAAACTCGTAACCGAAGAGACAGAGGCGAGCTTACCGTGCTTAAGAAGCTCGGAGAGGTCCTGAGATGAAATTTTATTATTTCTCTCACTTTTGCTTTTTGGCTTTCATTTTGATTTCGTTTGGCTGATCCTATCGGAGGAAAGGGAAAGGAGTGAGTGAGCTGTTATTTCCGCAGAATGTGCATGGATATAAAGGAGAGAGGAGAGCGTAGCTGCTTGAGCGGGACGGTGCTACTGTTTAAACTACTTTAATTTTATTTTTATTATTTCCACTCATTTTTTGGCTTCTTCAACACTGTTTCTTTTGTCCCTTTATTTTGACTTTTTAACTCCCTCGGTTTTGACCCATTTGTTATTTTTCTTTTCCAGTTAAACTTCTTTTGGTTTGCTTTGCACGGCGGTAAAAATTAGTTAGTAACGCCATACGAGATCCTAAAAAATATTAACAAATATAATTAATTACGCTTGAATAAAAAATAAATACAGGCATATCTAATTACATCATCAAATTAATCATAAAAGGGATTAATTTATGAAATACTATCAATAAATTGTAAATTAGAGTCGAATGAGTGAGAAGTTATCCACAAATACAAATCGTGTATCCAAATTTAATCTGAGAGCCCAAAGTAGTAAAGATCGATCATATAATAAATAAACATCGTCTTAATCAATCATGACGATGTCAAATCTAGACATAAAAAAAACGATAAACAAAAAACATTGACCAAACAACAAAAAAACTTGTTAAAAAATAAAAGAAAACATATTATAAAAACAAAAAAAAGAGTGTATCATAACTACCTTAGTAGTAAATGAATTGTTGTTATTCTTTAATATTTCGAGTTTTAGCACTGGGAATATTAGTTATATAAATGTTAAATGTCAAATGGTTGAGAGTTATCTTTGAACAAATATTATTTTGTATTTACCTAAGATTAATAAAAAAATTACCACTAGAAATATTTTTTCAAAATTAAAGATAAAAAATGATATTTTCAAGACTAAAATAATAAAAATAAATTTTTGCATGTGGGTGAATCTCGAAGAAAATATATGAGTTAAAAAAAGATAATCTTAATCAAACACAAACACAAATCATGATCTTAAAATTTTATAATATGATTATAATTTTACTTTAAATATTTATTATTTTTAAAATATTAGTTTAGTTATTATACTTTTATTTTCTCATTTCTAACCCCCAAAATTATAAGAAAGTAAGAGTAAAATTATCAATAATCGTAGGCAACTTTATTGAAATTAACTTTAACTATAAATAATTCTATCAATCACTATAATATTCGTTTTATTTTAAGTATTTTTATATTTTTTTTATATTTTCTGTTTTTATAATATTATTATTATAAGAGAAAATCGCCTCAGTGACCAAAAAAAAGTTATAATATACGATTTTAACCAACTTTTTTTGGATTTGCCAAAATGACCAACAAAATCGCAACGCGAAATAAAAATCGCAACGCGATCCCCAGATTCGCAAATCAGTTTCCAAAATCGCAACGCGATTCTTGAAAATCGCAATGCGATAGTACAAATTCGCATTGCGATTTTCCAAAATCGCAACGCGAATATGAAAATCGCAACGCGTATCCGTAAATCGCAACGTGTATCCGTATATCGCAACGCGTATCCGTAAATCGCAATGCGTATCCGTATATCGCAACGCGTATCCGTAAATCGCAACGATAATCCGTAAATCGCAACGAGAATCTGTAAATCGCAACGATAATCCGTAAATCGCAACGAGAATCTGTAAATCACAACACTGAAATTTTGGGTATATAACACTGAAATCATAAACTAAATCCCTAAATCGCAACTCATTCCATCTCCATCTATCACTCTCTCCGGCGACATCCGTTCCTATATCCAACGACATCCTTCCCAATCCGGCAACAGGTTTTAGTTTCGCAGCTCGTCTGTTTAGTAAATTAATTTACAACCATGAAATCATCTAATATTGATCATGTTTGGATAGATTTGTGTTTTGGAGGGTCATGGGATAATGTTCATGGTGTTTTACAATATATGTCTTTACCCATGAATCTTCAACTAAAATTGTCTTTACAAAAGTTAACTTATGAAACTCTAATGCTACGTGTTTCAAATAAATTGAATTTAGAGCCCCTAAGTGGATTTAGGCTATCTTATCAGAGAATGGTAAAGTTTATTTGTTAACCGACAATGAAGATGTTGAACGATTCATTGCTTACATTAGTGTTTCACAAGATGATGTTACATTGTATGTTGTTGAACCTAGAAGTAGTATTGTTGGGTCAGTAGCGGGTAGTAATCAACTAAGTTTTTCTCAAAACCCACAACCTTTCTCTAATCCAAATCCCAATCAACTTTCAGCACCAAATTCCGGTTTTCGTATTGACCAGTTAGACGATGATGAGCCAACAGAAAAAATTGTGAGTATTAGTCAGTATTCGAAATTTGGTCTTGGTCAATATCCGGACTTTGATATTGGTCAATACACGGATTTTGATGATGTTTCAGAAGAAGAAACAGACCCTGCGTGTAATGATTTTGATATTGGTCAATACCCGAATTTTGATGATGAAACAGCCGTTGCCGAAGAATGTATTGTTGATGATAATGAGGAGGAAGTTACGACTGTGAATGAACATGTTGAACATCCATTCTGTAATTCATATAATCCTGAAGAAGAAAAAGAAGAAGAAAAAATCCCCGAAGAAAAGAAAATGCCACGGGCGTATAACTGGAATATGCCAGAATTACTTCAGATACCGGAAGAAGAGTTGGTAAAGAAAGCAGTTGATTGTTACACAAAAGTTATTCGTATCAAGAAAGATGATTGTTTTGATACAAAGGAAGACTTGAAGATAGCTTTGTATACGAATGTGTGGAAGATGGCTATCAACTAAAAGTTAACAAATCAAGCAAAGATCGTTTCGAAACAAGGTGTATGATTGACAAAAACTGTATGTGGCGAATGATTGCAAAAAGAATAAAAGATTGCGAAATGTTTCAAGTTAGGACTTTTATTGATAAACATACATGTTCAAGAACCCAAGTTTTTCCTCACCATAGACAGGCAAACAAAAAGGTGTTGGGTGGTTTTCTGGCTGAGTTAATGTTTTTGAATGGCAGGGTATATCGGGGACATGAAATTATGACTGACATGAATGCTCGGTTCAAGATTAGTATATCATATTCTCAAGCTTGGAGAGCCAAATGTTATGCCTTGGAATTGTTGAGGGGTCGCCAAAAGCATCGTTTGCCCAACTGCCGGCTTATTGTCACAATTTAAAGCTGAAAAATCCTGGGTCGGTAACTCATATCAAAACAGATAGAGATGGACGCTTTGAGTTGCTGTTTATCGCCATTGGTGCTACGGTTAGTAAATCAATATAATTTTGTTGACTCATTTTTGTTAGTTACATGCATTTCACATTTAAATGATTATATTTCTTGTGTATATTATTTTGTAGATTCGTTCGTTTATTACTTGCATGCGCCCAGTTATTATAGTTGACGGAGCACATTTGAAAGGTCGATACCTTGGAGTAAACTTATTAGCAGTAGCCATGGATGCTAACAATGGGATATTGCCAATAGCTTACGGGGTTGGCAAATCTGAAACCTCTGATTCATGGACATGGTTTATGGGGCATCTTAGGGATTGCATAGGTCCTATTAGCAATCTGACAATCATATCCGATAGGGCAAACTCAATTGACAACGCTGTTAGAAGGTGTTTCCCAGATGCTTTTCATGGACTTTGTGGTGTTCATTTGTATAGAAATCTAAAATCAAGGTCTGCTGGTATAAAAAAGCACAAATGGACATACTGGAAGGCTGTAAAAGCTTATCGGGAAGTGGATTTCAATAAGCATATAATTGTTTAAGACGTGTTTTGCCTCAGTGTGCTCAAACACTAGAAGATGTCGGGTTTGAAAGATGGTCAAGAGTACATCAACTTGGAGCAAGATATGGTTTCATGACGTCTAATAGTGCAGAATCAATCAACGCTCTAAGTCGTCATTCCCGGAAATTACCCATTACTATGTTAATGGAGTTTTTTCGAGCCTCTATTCAACAGTGGT